GGGGGGTGGGGGTCTTTTGTTTATTACGAAGACCCGAAGACTAAATTTTAAGCCCGTGGCACACAAACAGTATTGCTCTATTTTCGTTAATCTCTTGGCAGGCCAATGTGCCAACTTTTTAATCCACTCTTGAAACAAAATGGAGTCGGGTTCTTTCAACCTTTGAACCAGCCTAATGATAAACAAACGCGCTTGCCGTTTGGCATAAGGAACGAAGGCGTTGTTATATTTTTGGAAATGTGGGCATATTCTTTCGTAGAGCTAACTTTATTCAGTTCAAGTTCACTTAGATTTTTGTCAAAGTGTGGTTTATGTACTTTAGCACCAAAAAATCCCCCAGTGGATATTGTTTTCTTATGGTTTTCATCGTCAATCCATCTTTGACCAAAAATCTGTATGTGGTACCTGGCAATATAAACTTGACTGACCTGCTGGCTAAGGCTATTTTTAGCTAATGTCTAATGTCCTTGTTTTTCTTTTGTGCGAGTTCCAAACAAAAGGTTAGTAAAATAGTGGGCCTGTTCTATTCTGTAATTTATTTCTTCTTGAATTTGTAACCATATTTTTGGGTACTTTTTTAGGTGCTTCTTTGGGTCTTTATGCAGTGCAAAGGGTTCAATGTAAATAAATATAAAAAACGGGGCAACAGCTGACTGCTTCATTCTCTCTCATCAGCCTCTACTGAGCATGGGGATCTTGTTCTTGTTGGATGACATCAACAATGGAACTTTGTCCTCCTCTATTATTTGACTAGAGATTCTAGATCTAGATCTAGAAAATCTAGATCTAGAACTAGAGGAATCTACATATTTATTTGTAATTTGGTTTCTGTCTTTACTTTGTAAATTAAAAAGAGTCACAGTAGTATCTGCCACTGATCAGTTACGAGATCTTCTTGATCTGATCTGTAGTCTAATAATATAATATTAATTCAATAATATCAGTGACAGAATGCGATGTTACTGATAGTATAGTAGGCCACTCTATTCTCACCAGGTGAAAATAACCCCTGACCGGCTGTTCTCACCCCTGGTGAGAATAGTCCATGACCCCCTATTCTCACCCCCCCCCCCCCCTCCTCCTGGACATTGACAGTGGTGTAGATAGACTCTAGTATATTTTTAACGAAGTGACTATTTCTCCGAACGTTCGGGAAAATAAAGTTGAACTCTATTTCTCCTAACGGTTCCCGATCTCGAGATTTTTTTGGTTATTTGAGAGATTTAGGCGTCATCCTTTCATTTTGCCATTCTGCGAGGACTGGAGAAGCATTTTTTGCATCAAATTCAATTTCTAGAGCTAGAGATTTTTAAATGTCAGCACGAATATTCAGATACTTCAGTTGTGGTTGGGGCAATGTTCCCGGACTATATTTCATTTGAAAATACCTTTAAAAAGTACTGCAAGAAAACTAGACTGTTCGACCTTGGCAAGTAACCTATAATTTTGCATAAAAGTCACCCAGCAAAAACAAAATCTTTCTAGTAAAAAAAAAATCCCTCTTCCCCCCCCCCCCCCCCCCCCCCCCCACCCGTTCACACCTTACACACACACACATGCACATTCGCACACACACACGCACACGGGCCAGTCCATTCGCTTATTATCAACAAATCTCGAGAACGGAAACCGTTTGGAGACATAGAGTTCTTGTTTATTTTCCCGAACATTTGGAGAAAATAGCCGGCCATTTTTTTATGTAATAGTTGAGCCTGCTTCAAGTGTTCCATCCCATGAGATGAAGGAGTGCTCTTTACAGAATTGAAGTCAGGAAATATGGGATATGTATGGAAAATGGCAAATTAAATCTAGATCTAGATCTACTATCATGCAGACTTTTGAAACAGAGATCATCTTTACCAGGTCTTTGCTAAAATACATCTTATGAACAACAAATAGAATAATAATAATATAAAAACATTTTTCACCTCTCCAGTAAAAATGTATGTCTCACTACCGACGCTAGTGCACGGGATTTTTGGGTCGGCCGGATCATTCATTTTTTACATACTTAACAAGGGCAGGCCTCTTTGCCTGCACACGTGTTATGACGGATCACTCTTTCCTCACGGGCTGTTGAAAATGTATTGTTAGGACTACCCATTGGTCAACTTGGGTGTAAACATTCACTAGAGGGAACTAACAATGACGACAGATGAATTGATTATAATGACGGACAGTCCACAGCGTGAGGGGCCGATTCAAAATTTATGACAAAGCATCGGGCAATGCGAGAACACGCCTGGCCGCCAGAGGCAGGTAGATTTGACAGTGGGTTGATAAAATAAGGCACACCCAGCCCCCCTTCGTTCTTTCTTTTTATATATGTTAATTTGTGATAAATTTTTAAATAATATAATCTCAGCAATTCTCGTTCCATAGATTTAGCCTGTACCAGTTCCGTTCTGCACCTCCTCTTTTTTTCTCCCCAAACAAAGTAGTACACACCCACACAAACACTAAATATTAATACGCCCGTGCGCCCCCACACACAGGAACACGCCAACCCACACCCCAAGCAGTTGACGATCCCCTAGTGACGTAGTCCATCACGCGCTAAGCCACAAAGCGGGCCTGCCACAGCGCGGACAATTTAAAAGCCCAAAGAGCAAGTGCAATATATCTTAGTAGTGGAGAATCTTTGGCTTTACCGCTCGGCATTGCGTGCATAGCTAAGTGTATAATTGCGTGCGTGTATAGCAAAAAATAAATGTGTATTGATGCACGCCATTGCGTGCGTATAGCGAAAAATGTATTGGCGCACGCAATTGCGTATTTGCGTGCCTAAAAACACTCCTGTGTGTGTTTGTGTGTGTGTAGTGTGTGTGTATGTGTGTGCCTTCGTATGATGATTATATTTTCAATTAGTATTATTACTACTTCTAACTGTTGTATACACATGTCATTGTGTGAGTATGAAAGCCAGGCCTTCCTTTCTATACTCAACTGTTTCAACCCAATACTATAGATAGTAGGCTGTAGTTGTGTGTGTGTGTGTGGGGGGGGGGGGGTTCATAGTAAAGTGGGCACTCTTCGGAAGAAGTGGTACCAGCCTACTTCAATTATAACACAGTCGGAAAGTCGGAAACAAAGACCGAAGTCGAGTGGAAAAGCTGGCTGAGTATTTATATATATATATATATATATAATATTTTTTGGCTTTTTTTATTAGTTCAGTTTTTCGATATTTTCTACATTATTTTGTTTTTCATTTGGTGGCCTTTTCACCTTGGCAACTCGGCCAGCTTTTTTACTCGACTTCCGTTTTTATTTCCGATGACACTTGTGTTATAAATTCTATGGAGTCAGGCCGGGGCCACTTGTCCCAGAAGAGTGCCGTAGAGTGATTGTAATAGTCATTGACCTCTATCTAATTCGTAATTTGATATTTCTATATCTATTCTGCCATTAGCCGGGCACTGAGTCATTCAAATACTCAATTTCAAAAGCTGACAAGGATGGAATGATGATGTGTGCAATGGCTTCAAGTTCGACATTCTTGTCTTGATAGTCTCTTAAATGGTACATTTTCACTTTAACTCCTGCACATAGGGTCAAACTGCAGTATTTTTAGTTGCAGATCACCCGTATATAGCCACCAAAACTGTCGCCAAAAAATTATTTACTCCGAACAAAACATCAAATTAAAACTGGTGGGGGGGGGGGGGGGGGGCTGTAATAACCCCACAGATTTTCTTTTTACTTTAAAAGGGGGTCATGCCCCCCTGAGCCCTCCCCCCGTACGATTAGTCCAAAGTGCAGAAATTACTAGGCTTACAAAGTGTGATACAGTTCCTTTACAAACCATCAACTATATTTAAAAATCTATTGGGTTGCAATGAAAATAAAGTCGATTTTCGTGTTCTGCGCATCAGTAATATATATATATATATATATACTGTAGAAAATGGACACATTGGTAGCTAAGAAGTGTGAAACAGGAGGGAAAGTAAAAGAATACTCCGTCTCTTTAGTTTTAGTAGAGGTTTTACGGCACTCGCAACTGCATAAGGTCATATGAGCGCCAGAAGATTAGAGGTGTTACAAGAGAGTAACAAACATAAAAAAGAAGAAGGGGAGATAAGGACGATAGATGTTTGATAGGAAAGATTTCACTTTATTATAACTATGTTATATCAGTATTAAGTTTGAAAATTGCCTTACAGGTGCAAGTCAACATCATCTCCATTAGTTTACACATGATCCAAAAAAAATTTCTTTCTGAATTTTTTTGGCTCACAAGTAGTGTCACCGTGAAAGCTCTTGGTTTTGTGTAAAAATTTTTACCCTTGTCTCTTTAAGTGGTTAGTGTTGGCCACTGTAAGGGCAAATAGGGTAATCTTGAGTGCTTTTATATTACTACTGATCAATAATGAACTGGTAGTGCCAATGATGGAGAGAAGAAGTAGAGTGAAAAATATATATATAGCACCTAAGAAAATTTATCTCTTATTTGTTTCCTTTCCCATGTTTTTTCAAGACCGACTGATTTCATTATTTGACCTCGGTAGTTTATCACCTTATCAGATATAATGTTTGAAAGGTTTCACTTCTTTTTACAGTACTGTTATTTCAAATATCACGTGTCCGAAGTTAAACGAATATGGTCAGAGACAAAAAAATAACTCTTCTTTTCTCTTTCACTTTGAACCATTAATAAGGTTATGACTCCAGTATACTGAGCACATCCATTCCTGTGAAAACAGTCTCCCAATTTCCTTCTGTTTTCTTCTCTTAGATGATAATAGCACAGAATGCAAGATGGATAGAATTATCTTGCCTTGAGTTTCTTTTTCCAAGTCCAAGGACAAATTCAAATCTGTTAACTGATTTGATATGTTATGTTATGATATATAGAAATAAAATGAATATACCCCGTTTTAGCTTTCTTAAGTTTCATTAAAATGTAAGACAGCGTTTACATAGACATGCTGGGTGAAGAGTGCAAAGGTATGTCTGCCAAATCAGTAGTGTTAAGAAAGCTGGCCGCATGCCAAGTAATGTTCTCGTGAGTGCAGACAAGACTTTGTACCACCCATAATGAGTTTTTCCCAAACCTTTGACCTACATTTTCTTTGTCAAGTGGTAAAAGTTGAGTGGAGGACGCTCTTTGCCTGTGGGAGGTTCAGGTTCGTCCACTGTCCACTCGAGAGGGTTCAAGGATTCCCCTGAGTGTGGCACGTCGCCTTGCCTTGACTGGAGGACTCAGATTCATGTTTATATTGTCTATATGTTATTGTTATGGAGAGAGGTGTTCGATAATATTCACAGTGTAATGATTTGATGATGATGTTAAAGCAAGATATTATGCCATGTTTTCAAGGTTAGTAGGAGTTTTGTCAAGGTTTTGGGGACAATCCAATTCCTAGATTGCTCACCTTCAAACCGGTGTGTTGAATGAAAAAAAAAGGAAAGAAAAGGCAGCTTCTCTGGGGAAAAGTAAAACTGAAGACTTCCATTATAAGGATCTTACTTGGCGTAGTATGCGCATCTGCGTCTTCCTTCTCTACGAGGCTACTTTTGGGTCACCGAGATGTTTTTGGCTTTATACTTATTTTAACCCTATCTGTACGCCCTGGGGTCATTTTGTAACCCCGTCGTTGTATTCTTCACATTTTAGAATGCTTCCAGTACGAAGATCTCTTTGAAACTTTCAGTATTTCTCAAAAAATCATTTTGACAGACTGCTATGCAAAGCGTACGGATCGGATTAACGAGTAAACTTCCTCTTTGAAAAGTGGGGGTTCAGAGTTCCCCACATCATATGGATACGATAGTAAAACACGACGTACGGATAGGGTTAAGAAAAGAGAATCTAAATTAAGTCTTACCCATTACTGGTCCCCTAGAAGATAAATTAAGATTTTCTTTGTGCTGTGACTTGTTTTTATAACAGACATTATAGCATGTATACTTACTAACAGCTTTCAGAAAGGCATCGTTTAACTCTCTCTCTCTCTCTTTGTGTTCTTCCACAGTGCCTAAATGTTTGTAGTGACCACCGTTTCCTCGTCCGCTCCCATGGCCAAAGAAGATGGGTGCTGGCGGTGGGTCGTCGTCGTTGCTGCTTTCTTCACTCAGTTCATTGTGTGCGGGATTACTTACAGTCTAGGCGTGTTCCACGTCATCTTCAAAGACATCTTCTACGAGAGCCATTTTGACACGTCATGGGTTGGCTCCGTCCTCCTTTATGTCACGGCCCTGTCCAGTGAGTATTTCAGTGCTGTCTCTCAACAGTGTTTGGATTATTTACCTGTTGCCTAAAGTCGGGGTTCGAACCTCGGTTCGGGCACAGATTTTTTTCGCCCCCTCCTGCCCACCCAGCAGTAATGGGTACCTGACTTCGAGTTCCCCACGACAACCACCGGTACAAGCGGAAGAAAAAAAAGTAAAGTAAAGACTTCGAGTTGGGGTAGTAAAGGCCAAGAGGGCGTGCAAAGGAACTGGCCACCCTACCACAATATGCCGAAGGCCCAGGAAGTTGTCTCACTAACAAGACAATCCCCAATGTCCGGATCGGATGCGGGAACAACTTAACTTTTACCTGTTGCCTTTCATTTTGTAAACTTTGGATTCATCTGAATGATTTGTGATAATAGTAATATTGATAGTAGGTTGCATTTATGTGAAAGTTGGCCTTTTGTGGAAGTGTTTCCTTGTTTGTTTTTTTGCATTGTAAAAACTATTAAAGTCTCTGCCTTTCGAAATATGACTGTTTTCGTGCTTACCATTTAACAATGACTCAAACTCAAATACTAGATGCAAGAAAGGTTAACCTGGAGGTAGTCATGCTATAATAGAACTAAAAGAAGGAGTGGAGGAAGATGGCTAATGAAAATTATATTCTGACCTCTCAGACTATGTTGAAACAAAGTGCGTGAGATGAAGGGTAGCCTTACTTTTTATGCTTGTAGTTTTGTATAAGTAATTTAAATGATGTTGAGTACTTTGGTTACACCTTTTTTCCCCTTGAAAGACTTTCGCTGTCAATATGAATGGTTGGCAGGCGCTCTTATGTAGTAGTTTAGCCGTTCTTTCCCAGCAAACATGTATTGTCGTTATCTCACCTCCTTTTTTTTTTTCTATATCTGTTACTCTCTATCTTACAACACCTGTAATCTTCATGTCAGCACTTACTTGACCTGTGTGGGTTGCTAGTGCTGTTAAACTCTTATTAAAACAAAACCAAAAATTTGAAAGCTATTAGAAAGATTTCAAGATTTCAAAATTATTTATTGATTTGAACGGCCTTTGGCCCATACATCTGCACTTTTTAACATATGTACCTCTCGGCAATAACATACATTGGTGCAGCACATCGGATATTTAACGTACATTGGGCACGCACGCACACACACGCATACAAGCAAGCACGCACGCCCCCACACACACAGACACACTTATACTCACCAACACATACTTACGTACGTACATACGTACATAGTACATACATACATACATACATACATATAGCTATTAAAAAGGAGTTCAATAAGTACGCCGATCAATGATCACTCTTTACGCTGTGTCTTCAGGTGTAATGCTGCGGTTTGTGACCTGCCAGTGGGGCTGTCGTGTGAGCGTGATGCTGGGAGGGTTGCTGGCGGCCACGGGGCTGGGCTTGTGTATGCTGGTGCAGGAGATGTATCAGCTTTACATCACGTTTGGCCTCATCACTGGTGAGATTTTATATTTAAATTTTTAACAAACAATTTTTACTAAGCCTCTCTTTAAAAAATTTGAGTTTCTTGCTCTTCCAGGGATAGAATTGGGTCGTGATGTAGTTCATGACGGATAGAAATTAAAATGTAACATATTTATTGTTCCGTAAACTCTTTCAAGTTAAAAATGTATTTATTGTTTCATAAACTCGTAAGTTAAAGATTTATTTATTGTTTCATAAACTCTTAACTTAAAAATTTTGAAAATCCAGCTTCATCATGCTCTTAGGATTATTGAATTCTACCTCCATTTAACTTTTAATTTTTTAAAAATGGGTTTCTTCTAAAAAGTGACTTAAAGATTGGATCACCAGAATTAAGTAAAAAGCCGTGCTCAACCTGCTTGACACCATGATAAGGCTTTTGAAGGTAACGACTAAGACCTAATGCTTCTGTTTTCACAAAGTACATCTGATGAAGTGCATAATAAAGATGTGACGTTTAGTGATTATATCATAAACTCTTTCATGCAATGATGTTTTGTCGTCGGCAGGTCTGGGCTTTGGGCTGGCCTGCTCTCCGTCCATAGTGGCTGTGGAGCGTTACTTCGTCCACGCCAGGTTCCAGGCATTGAGCGTCGTGGTCGCAGGCATCGGAGCCGGCATCATCACTTTTCCGATTCTGATCCGCCACCTGCTGGTGCACTTTGCCTGGCGGGGCGCTATGCTCATCCTGGCGGGGATCGCGCTCAACCTCTGCGTCTGCGGCATGCTCATGAAGCCAGCTAAGCACGAGAAGGAGATGCGCCTGCTGCCCATGCTGTCCTGCTTCCCGCTGCGACACCCGCTGTTCCATGGCATGTGCTTCGCCAATCTCTTCTGGAGCTTTGGCTCCACGGTCATCTACATGTACCTCCCGTCGTACGCCATGGCCGAGGGCTCCTCGTTCGAGACGGCCGTGTTCCTCGTGTCCTGTGTGGGCATCTCCAGTTTTGCCAGCCGCATGATCTTCGCCTTCATGGGACCGAACAGCACGCTGGACGATGTGACCTCCGCCCTCTGTCCCATAATGCTGGGAGTTGTTATCACGGGGATATCTCCTTTGCTCTTCGATGACTATGCTGGACAGATTGGGTATGTGTCGAATATTTTGATTGAAGGGGAGGGATAAAAAGAATTGTAATGTACAGCAATCAGGACCCTTCATATGTGGTATGCAGCCCTTAATGCAGGCCTTGATATTGTAGACACAGACTGCAAACTTTTTAATTGACGAAGAGTACACCTACTATTTATCTAGATCTAGTATGGCGTCAGTGGCCTAGTAGTTAGGCTCTCGGACTCGCAACCGTAAGGTCGTGGGTTCGAATCCCGTCAAGGACCCGACGTTGTGTCCTTGGGAAAGGCACTTTAAACAAATTTTCCTCACTTCACCCAGGTGGGAATGGGTACCCGGCTATAGACAGCGAAAGATCTTGTCAGTTTGTTAGTGTTTGAGCGCTTAATCGGCTGCTTGCACTGTATGCTTCCCTGGCAGCTGAGAATGTTTCGGAGTGTTCTATGGTCTGCTGGGGTAATAATATAGTGTAAAGCGCATAGAGCCTGCTGTTGAGCGGGGATATGCGCTATACAAATGCTATCTATTATTATTATTAATGTTAGATTATTTCTATGTCATAGTGAGATTATGGATCTGGAGTTGTCTTTCCAGACATAATAAGTTAAAGATTGGCAAGGAGAATCTTGCACTCATAATGTTAATGATGTTAGACTGGTGTTGTGCAAGACAAACGTCTTAATACATTTCTCTTTGAGAAATGAGTCGGTGTGACTCATTTGCCTGTAAAGATGTCCGCAGTACTTGGCCAAAGATAAATTGTTGTGTAGGTGTTTAAAAAGCATCTGAAGATCAAAACAGTGCACAGACCCGATAGACTCTACGATGTTAATTTTGTGGTGACTCGAGGAGAAGGTATAACTTGAGAAGAGACACTTGGCATCAAGGAATATACAAAATACATCTGTCATCCTTATCTCCCCTTCTTCATTTTTATGTTTGTTACTCTCTTGTAACACCTCTAATCTTCTGGTGCTCATATGACCTTATGCAGTTGCGAGCGCCATAAAACCTCTACTAAAACTAAACTAAGAAAACACAGTCGTACTGTCTATAGTGGTCACCTCTCCATAGCGGTTATCTGTACTACAACCACTGTTTCGTGACACTCTTGCATTTTTCTTCTGTATTTTTAACCTTCCCTAGCAGGCCCTGTCTAATGCAAACACAGTCAGTCACTTTCACAACAAGTCTGCCTCAAAACCTTCTCATAGCAGTCACTTGCTACTTAACCCCTTTAAGCCCTGATTTTTTCCACCGTATCCCTGAGTTTTTTTCTACAGTCACCTAAACCTGGTGGACTATGTCTCATTATAACCCCAAAAGCTCGCCACCAACTTCTAAATAGTGAAAACAAAGGCTTAGTCATTACTAAAAAACTTGGTTCGAGAATAGTTACGAAAAACAAGCAAAAACTAGCGCTAAATCGAATGAAACAGTTGTCACTAGGATTGGGCGCTCCCAGAGTCTGATGGGGAACAGGGTTATCACTGCTGGACACTCCCAGCGTCCGATGGGATTCAAAGAGTTTCTGGCAATCCTTTCTCAGACTTAGTGTATATGTTCAATCAATGCAAAGAAGCCCTGTATGTGATGGATAATAATTTTGATATAAATGAAATAGATTAAAATTTCAGATTTTTAAGTCATGTATTGACTTTGTCAAGTCAAGTAAGTAACCTTGACTCAGACAATATCCGAAGCGCCTGCCTGTCTATATCGTTCACTTTCTCCGTGGTCTTGAGTGACCATTTGGACAGGTTCAACTTAACTGTTTGTTGAAATAGGCGACAGTTTTTTTCCAGATTCTGAAAAAAAAAAAACCCTGTTGAAATTGGTTTCAGAAAATTAGAAATAAAACGTGTCTTTTCATCTGTAATTACTGGAGAAGAATTGGCAATGAGGAAAGCCAGTGGTGTTAAAATGAAAAGTAAGAGTTACAAAACTCAACAGGAATATGCACTGTTTAAAGTTAAAGGGCCTATGGTGTGAAGGTGAAAAGTAAGTGTAAAAAAACCAACAGTATTTAGCTCTGTTTAAAGGGCCTATGGTGTGAAGGTGAAAAGTAAGTGTAAAAAAACCAACAGTATTTAGCAGTGTTTAAAGGGCCTATGGTGTGAAGGTGAAAAGTAGGTGTAAAAAAAAAAACAACAGTAAAAAATAGCTCTGTTTAAAGGGCCCATGATGTGAAAGGTCAACGAGTGGTTCTCGCTGCTGATTAACTTTTTACGTCAGAGGTCTTGTTCTCGATAACTCTTGTGACGTGATGATGATGTTGATAGTTGATAGCGTCCCTTTATCTCTTGTTTTTAAACAGTAGGTATTGATTGACAATCAAGTTGAACTTTCACATCGTTGACCCTTTTAGGAGCCCATCCCTTAATGGGCTTTATCAGATTATGGCATATGATAAGTGATAAGTGGTCCTTTCTCATATGTTCTACATGTCATCACTGTGATATAATGCAGTCCACTTTAATAAATGTCAAAATTTTAAAAATTTTCCCCCCCCCCCCCTCCCGAAGCTCTATCAAAGATGCGCCTTTCACAATCTCCAAAAATGTAGTTTAATGCTATGTCAAGGCTTACACTTTTCTTGCTGTTCATGATTCCCCTGAACAAGGCACTAGTTTTTTTGTCTCTGTTGTAAAAAGTACCCGAACAGACTTGCGATGTGGGTGGTTGGCAGGTGCTCTGGTGTGGTTTGCTCCTTCTTTCCTGTCAAACATCTATCGTCCTTATCTCTGCTCCTTCTTTTTTCTGTTTGTTACTCTCTTGTAACACATCTAATTTTCGGCACTTATTTGACCTTATTGTGTTGCCAGTGCCGTAAAACTCTTACTAAAATTAAAAGACTTGCGATACCAACGATATGATTTAATGTTTTCTGGATAGGAAAAGATCTTTACATCACAAAGGGTTTCAGAAGATCAATAGCTGACTAACAGATCTATGTTGTATCAATTCAACAGTTTGTTTTTATAATATATCCAACAGTGCTATGTGGAAAAGGAGTTTTTGTACCTTTTCATAAACAGTTCGTTTTAACCGATGCATCATGTTTTACAGGCATAAACTGCAATGTGACTCCCCTTGAGAGAAAGCTCTCTATGGCAGTCTCTTAGATTTGAAGTGGACTTCACGGTTTGTACGCGACATCGGACTGACTGTCTAGCTGCTGTCATCGAGAATGAGGAAGAAGAAAGAACTTGTAAATAAGCTGTTCATAGATCATCGAACTAAATTAAAAAAGAGTGTTAGTTTAATTCTACTGCTAATTCATAGACAAATTATTCTAACTCATGCATCATATTATGTTTCCCAGGTATACACTGCTGTTTGGCTTCTACAGCGGCTTCTGGACCACGTTCCTGTCGCAAGCGTCGCGGGAGCTCCTGGGCCCTGAGTATATCGCCATGGGCAACGGTTATCTCTCCTTTATGATTGCTCTTGGGGCACTAACAGGAGGACCCCTTACCGGTAAATAAAACCCCCCCAAAAAAAACAGTGGGTGGTTGGCGGGTGCTCTGGTGTGGTTTGCTTCTTCTTTCCTATCAAACATCTATCGTCTTTATCTCCCCTTCTTCTTTTTTATGTTTGTTACTCTCTTGTAACACCTCTAATCTTCTGGCGCTCGTATGACCTTATGCAGTTGCGAGCGCCGTAAAACCTCTATTAAAACTAAAACTTTTTTTTTTAAAAACGGGTCTTTCGCTGTTGACGTTTTACGCCCCTGTTGGCACAGTTTAGATCACAAGTAAGGGAGATTGGTTGCTCCATCTATGCAGTGTTGGGCGCTACCCGTGGCTATGTGGGGTATATCTCTGTTGAAACACGCTGATACTCAGTAGAATTTCTTTCTCCACGTTGAGAGGAATTCCCAGTTGAAACTCTCAAATACTCGATACAGTTTCTTTCTCCACGTTGAGAGCAATTCCCAGTTGAAACTCGCAAATACTCGATACCATTTCTTTCTCCACGTTGAGAGGAATTCCCAGTTGAAACTCGTAAATACTCGATACCATTTCTTTCCCCTATGGTGAGTGGAATTCACAGTTGAAGTGCGCAGCAGACACTCAATTTAATTTCTTAATGTGCAAGGGCACATAAAAATGACATAATAATATGTATATCAGTGTATATATAATGGAAATAATTATCAAATTTTTGTTCTTGTTGTAAAGACAAATAATTTCTACCTGTAAAATGCCTTTTGGTTCAGGGTGTTCGTTCGGCTTTTATTCTCAAACATTGCAGCACTGTGCAGAAATCCAACTATACCTTCCCCCCCTCCCCCTCCCCCTCCCCTTTCCCAAATTAATTGTAATGCAGTTGATGGGGTTTAGCTTAACTGGGTGTGTTGTATACAGTAGAATAGTAGTCTTAGTATGCATTCTCTCGAGTGTGAGGGAGAGAAAGAAAGAGCGTTTACTTTATAGTGTACAAATAAACTCACCGTGTTATTGGTTCTGTCCTATACGTTCTCATCCTTGATTGCTACTGCCAACAGCTGTGAATATAGATAGTGAAAGATCTTCTCAGTTTGTTAGTGTTCGAGCTCTTAATCAGCTGCTTGCACTGCGTGCTTCCCTGGAAGCTGAGAATGTATCTGAGTGTTCTATGGTCTGCTGGGGTAATAATATAGTGTAAAGCGCATAGAGCCTGCTTTTGAGTGGGGACATGCGCTATACAAATGCTGTTTATTTACTATTATTAAGACTTCTCTTGAGGTTAATGGGATGGTTCGTCCTCATTTTGTCTTTATGTCTTTATAATTTATGTCTCACACACGTGGAATGAGAAAGTTGTGACTCTTCCACCTGCAGGTTTACTGTTGAAGGAGAAGGGAGACTTCAAGTATGCCTTCTATTTGGCCGGTAAGTTCTTGTCTCTTGTTTGTGTGTGTGTGTGTGTGTGTGTGTGTGTGTGTGGTTAGTCCCATTGCAGGACCAACTGCTTTTCATCGTGCTATGGACTAGATGTTTTTGTTGTCATGAAGGTGTCTGAAAGAATGTGTGTATCTATATATGGTCTTAGAATTGGAAAGTTTGCTGTTTGATTGTACATGAATAGTTCAAACTACTGCTAAATAGTGTGGTACATAAACATTATCTTGATGAAAGAAAATTGACGTGCTTTTCTATCTTTAATCCAGGTTTGTGCCAAAATGTGTGTGTGTTTTCCGTCTTGATATGTGTTATGCGTTTCTTGGAATGATAAGACATGGGAAAACTAGTACATGAGATAGTATTTTTAGTGAATGAAAGGGAGAAGAAAAAGCGTGAAGATGGAGTTTGAGAATGGGAGAGGAAAATAGTTATCTATACATATTTGTGAAAGTCCGTCACTTTCTCCGCCTAATACTTCGGAACCATTAAACTTTCGAATTTGACTAAATTAATGGTGGTTCAGAATCATTTAAAGGGTGCCCAGTTCTATTGAGGAGCCTGAAGTCACTATAGTTTAATTTTCAGTTTTTCTTTAGTTTCGTTTAGATCTAATCTTTGGAAAGTCCGTCTTCTAAGACGCCATTGTAAATAAGTGAGGTTTCCGTTTAATTGCTGTGCGCACTGTTTCCACACCTTTTAAATTCTGGAGTGTACAACCACGAAAGCGGAATAGAGGATCTATCTATACATCACTATTTAAACCTTCTAATTTTTTGCATCTCTCAGGATTTATTACTTCTTTCCAGTAGAGTGTGTAGAGTGTAAATATAGTAGGCCAATGACTTTCAGTTGATGGTTATGCACCGATCATTCCTTTCATCGAAAGGGGGCCCAGCTAGTATGAAAATAATTTTGTTTCTATCAAAATGGAGTAGATTTAAAAGGTCTATTTTGAGCAACAAGTTACTAAAGTCATCATACACTTTCTCTTGTATCCTTATCACTGGATTGTTTTAGTAACGGGGAAACATTAAGGCAAATGGTACAAAGATGCTTTGTAGTGTCATTTAGAGTGTTTAAATGTTGATAATACTGTTACATAGTAACCAAACTTGATGTGTTCTTTCTTAAGTTCTTACAACGTTATGTCATTGATGCTGGATATGAGGGTTTTATGGCAGCATGCGTTATATCTAAAAATGAAAAGTAGAAAAAGCTGATAATCTTATTCTCTCTCTAGATGCTGTGAAAGATAAAAACTAAATCAGACATGTGCCAAATCAGAGCTTATAGCAAATTTTATGACAAAATATTGAAGACTAATAATGATAAAAGATCCGGCTAGCGATAGAAAGAAAAACAATTTCTTATATTGGACCCATTATTACAAATTCTTTCAAGTAGAGTGTGTTTGAAAATAACAATGATTGGTGCTGTGATGTAAATGTTTCGTAAGTCTTAAATCTGTACCACCAATCATAGTTATATTTTTAACTCTCAAGAGAAGTAACTCATTTTGTCTGCACGCTCTCATATATAGAACACATAATTTGTCAATCCGCGACACGTTCGTTCTGAGTTATCTGTTCCTTGACTTAATCCAGAAATAACTGCTGGGTGCTACAGACTGTTTGTTATCCTCCCTTTGATGTCTGGCTACAGGGGCATGTCTGCTGTGGAGCTCGGTGGTCATGGTTCTCTTCAAGCTCAAGCGCTGCTCGGCGCGCCTGGAGGCCGACAGCGAGAAAGCAGACGACATCGACTCCCTGAAGGGGACCAAGGTCAAGGAGCACCGGATGCCGCTGATCCTGGAGGACGTGGTCACCATGCGGGAGGGCAAGGTTCCCATCGCGGGCGCCGGAGACATTGTGGTGTGGGTACATAGAGAGATCTAGCATGCCGTCTCCCCTCCTTCGTCTCTGCTCCTTACCTCCGTTCAGCCGCATGTGGGTGTTGTGGACCTAGGCTTTTGTTTGGTTGTTGGGTTTTTTTGTGGGGTTTTTTTGTGGGGTTTTTTTTGTATTTCAGTTTTGTTTTGATTATGTTGATCAGGTTGTAGTTGTAGTCTTGTTCTGTTTTGTTTTCAAAAACCTTTTCGGCCTACCCAGGGGAAGGGACTTTATAAACAGTGAAAGTACCCTCCACTTTTCTTTTGTTAGTGTCAAAAATAAGATATTTGTTAAAATTTTGTCCCTTCCCTTCTCCCCCCCCC